TCTCCACTCTTTCTTCCCACCCCTCGACTTTCTTATCTTGCTTGCTAAATAGGAAAACAAGTCTGAGAAGCTAATCAGTACATGGACAAGGCTAATATGTCTTTCTCTGAGACTTATAGAGTTTTGAGAAGTGATCAAGGTCAAATGACTGGAAGCTGACCTTGGGCACCAGCCAAGTCAACCAGAGCTCTGCAAAGTGACAAAGCGCAAAAGATTTTGAGAAGAGTTGATTCTACTCTGGAGCAAATCAAAATCTTACAGGGTCCCAAGACAACAGCGAAGATGAGAACAGAAACCAGATGAGGCCTTGGCGAGACCTTGGACCTGACTCACAGACATGGACCCCTTGTCGCTCACGTCTCCTTCTCTACTGCTTTTCACTTCACACGTTCCGTCCCCTCAATCCCCCCTTTAAAAGCCCCTCAGTAAACCGGAGTCTTTGAGATGGATCTAGCCTTGCCACTCTTCCTCAGCTTTACCATGGGGAGATGGCTTTAGTCTGGCCGTTCTCCTAGACGTTTATCGGAAAGATGGGTTAGCCTAACATTCTCCTCAGGTCTCTGGTATTCCTGAATAAAAGCTGACTTCCATTTTTCCCCAACATGTGACTTTTAAGTGGTTTGCTTTTGTCTGGGGGCAGGGAGCCGGACCTGTGAGTTTGGTGTCTTTTGGGGAGCCTCAGCCAGGAGCTGCACGGCCTCTATAACAGGACCCAGGGGCTGTAGAACAGGAACCCAATCACGTGCCAGGGGTCCTCGGTCAGCTCTTAATGAGGATTCAGTATCATCTGGGAAAATGCAGTAGGTGGAGTCTGTAATTCAGCCCCGTATTCAAAACAAACAGCATTCTCAGTTTGGACATAACTTATTCCAGCAAAGGCACAATCCTTTGTTTCGGACTAATGGCCAGCTGAGAAGGGTGGCAACGAAGTGGATGGAGTAAAACTTAAAAATAATTTGACAAGATGGAGAAATAGTCAGAAAAAAGGAATTTCATAAGCACAAGAGAATGCTAAACACACCAAAAGCCATGACAGAAAGCAAGGAGCTATTTGTTAATATGGTGGAAATGTAGGAAGACGACAGACTGAAAGGGAGTCAGCAAAATCCTACCGGTTCAGACAAGTCTAACATGGTCATTCACAAATTCAGAATCACAGCGGACCAGACGCCGGTATTCATGCTGTTCTGCGGACCCCAAAGGGCACAGGAGAAGGAAAACTCTGGGAAGGCAGNGTATTCATGCTGTTCTGCGGACCCCAAAGGGCACAGGAGAAGGAAAACTCTGGGAAGGCAGTGGTGGCAGTTTCTGTAGCCACAGGGGCAGGGTTTGGTGCTGCTGCGTGGACACTAGCATGACACAAGCATGCCCAGCACATGGGTGGCTGCGACAACAGCTGGCGTGAAGAGCGTGACATGCACCACAGACACGCCAATGTGCTGGCCACTGAAAGCTTCCATGGGCCTGCCAGGGACCCAGGCCGTGAGTCACCAGCAAGTTGCTGGGAGCTTCCCCAGGAGCGGGCAGCGCTGGCATCGTGCAAGGAGACAGATATGCGTGGCCACTCGAAGCCAGCGGGAAGACCTCAACGTGGAAACACTCCTCTTTAGAATGCCTTCAAATTCTTCCCTTAGCAGAGAATATTTGTCAGCAACCCAACACAGTTGTTCCAATGTTTCTGACCTAGAGCTTAACCATCAATACCACTGCTTATAAATTTAAATATTAGTTGTTATAGAATTTCATTGTAATACGATATTGCTTCTAGAACATTATAATAAATCAAAAACAGTGCAAGGAACAGCTCTACGGAGTGTTTTCTTTTGGAATCAATTTATCTGATGATTTAATTAGTTGGGATTACTGGATTACTTTTAAAAAAAGGATAGTTTTTATTTTGTCCTCAGCTTGTAAATCCAACATTTCTGAACATACTTCCAGAAAACCGAATTGATTAATTCTTCAGGACTTAAAATTATTTTCACACTGACACCAATTTAAAACAGCAAATGAATAACAAAGAGCCCTTTCAGCTCGTGAATGCTCCTGTAAAGAATACCTTCAGGTTTTCACTAACAGAGACTTGCTTTCACTTGGAAAATGGAATTATTTCTTTCCCATTTCTGTATGTTGCATATTCAAATTTCGAGAAGGATTTTCCTGTTCCTTGCTTTCATCTGAGAAAACGTCTTTACAACCAACTTGGTGTGCTCCTGTTCAGTCTACTCTGACTCAATTTCTAAAAATATCCATGTTATCTCATCTGTCTTTACTATTAGAAAGGAGCCGCTATTCACTTTTTCACAGCAAATATTATGAATGTGAAGGAGCCCAGAGGTGATGACAGCCACAAGAAGGCCATAGGTCCCTGTGGGCTGCCTGCAGCTGGTGCTGGGGCTAGCAGGAGGAGGATGGACCCCAAGGATCCCCAAGGATCCCAAGGTGGCCGAGATTAGCTGGCTCTTGTTGTCGCTGTTATGGCATGAAACCGAGCTTTGTTTCGTTCATTTTCTAGGACCGTGTTATGTATATTTCCTTTAAAGTGGTAATATATTATTTCATCCAAGCCTGGCATCTAGCATCTAGCAGAGGAAAACGCTGAGGGCTTCAAAAATCATACTCATGGCCTCGACTTGTCTAAGGCCCAGTCAGTGTAGAACGGCTGAAAGGCTGGTGTGTGTGTGTTTCCCGTGGCTGCCATAACAAACGATCACAAACTGTGTGGCATTTTATTGTCTCACAGTTATGCTGGCTGGAAGTCTGAAATCAAGGTGTTGGCAGGGCCATGCTCCCTCCACAGGCTCCAGGGCAGTTTCCTTCCTTGCCTCTTCCTAGGTCACAGCACTGCCAGCAGTCCTTGGTGATGCATGGCTTGTGGCTGGACGGCTTCAATGTCTGCCTCCATCTTCACACGGTCTTCTCCTCGGTGTGTTGTGTCTGTGTCCAAATTCCTCTTTTTATGAGCACACTGGTCATAGTGGATTAGGCCCACCCTACTCTAGTATGACTTCATCTTAACTGATTACACCTGCCAAGATCCCATTCTCTAATAAGGTCACACTTATAGGTACCGGGGTGAGACTTCAACATGCCCTTTTGGTGGACACGATTTGACCTGTAACAGCAAAGTTGTCCCTGACCTCCAGTGTTTTCTGCCACTCTTGGCATTGCAGCCCCTTTTTGGAAGCCCCCTTTGCCTCTGGCACTTGCCTGACTTTCTTCGTACTCCTCTACCTGTGTTAGCAGCTCTAAGATTCAGATAAGGCACAGCTCTCCAATCTAGCCCTCTCCTCACTGTCTACATGTAAAAATACTAAGTCCACTGGCACAATGGAGTGTCGCAAAGAAACGGAGGGTGCTTCTTATAGGAATCTCATCAACTCTCATGCTTACACTATAATTTCTTCAAATATTAGCCACATAAACACTCCAGCTATGATCTTTCTCCTTCACCATCTCCAACAATAATGCTTTGCATCTTGGGCTGGCCGGTTGCTCAGCTAGAGCACGGTGCTGATAACACCAAGGTCCAGGGCTTGATCCTTACACTGGCCAGCCACAGAAATAAACAAACAAACAAACAAACAAATAAATAAACAAACAAATAAATAGAATAAAATGATTTGATTCTTTAAATATATGATAAGGCTAGGAAGTACACCTAGGTATTTTGACTCTAAAAAGTCTATACAATAGCCCCTTCATCTGAGAGAGACACATTCCAAGACTCCCAGTGAAT